TTATGTTGCTCTTTTTTGTTTGTTTTCTCTTCTGTTTTTTTTTCTCTCCATACAGGTGATCCAGGTGTTTTGTTTGTTTTTCTTTCTTTCTTTCTTCCCCCCTTTCTCACCGTCTCTTCTCCCCTCTGTTTTTCTTTCTCTCCCTCTCTTTCTTTCTTTCATTCTTTCTCCCTGTCCTGTCCCCCAGTCATGTCTGTCCCGTTTGTAGCAACCGAAAATAAAAGAAATACATAATTATATTAAAGGTCAATCAAATGGACCAATATGGCAAGGCCATGATGATCCACTTGGTAAAAATAAATCTTCTTGGCATCTTTCTTGGCCTTAAGACAACAATTCAGATGGCTAAAGATCCAAACGGGACAACACACAAAAAAAAAAAAAGTTCAGGGAAAAGTAGGACGCATTTGTTGCCACATTTGGAGTACTCTTTGAATTCGGACAGCCTTCGTCACATCGCTGTGACGTCATTGCCTCCAAATACGTCCTTCGGAACATCCTTCCACTGAATTCGGACACAGCTGTGGTCTCCTCGCCTGAGTCTGCTCCTGGGATCCACACACCCACACACAGTCTGCCCCCGCAAACCATTACAATATTTGGTTTTTGAAAGACTTAAGAAACATAAATATCAACCATAACACAATGTTCACAGAAACAACTTCCAAGGAATGTTGTGGAATTATTCACAGTAACAGGAAGCAAACGTAGTTCCTCATATCTTTCCACCTTCAAAATCTTTATTTGAAGGTAATTTAACATCCTTAAAGATTTTACTCAGTAGAAGGTCTTCTAGAAAATTCTGTGTAAGTTATAGCCCAAAGAATATTCATAGAGGATTTTCAAGAAATTCTTGTTTTGTTTTTGTTGTTTAATTGTTTTCTAAATCTAACATGTTTGTTTTCTTTTTTTCATATTGTTTCAGTGACTGCTGTGGACAAGAGATATTTTATTTTGTATTCTTATGGTGACAGTTTATAATCAGAACTATCATTGATCAATCATCTATCATTGTTGAATCTGTTGACAGAGTAATCTCTGATATTATATCTATGTTAATTTGAGCACATATTAATGTAGGCCTATTATCATCACTTTATCAGTCTATGGTTGTTCTGTATTGTTCTTCCTATCTGCTTAAGCTGTTGCAAATGGTATCTACATCACCTCTCGAGCTTGTGGGGCCAGGGAGGCCTGCTAGGTTCACTTACACACAGATTCAGGCCTACACCAACATGCACATATTGAGTTATGTAAAACACGCACGTTCACGCACACACTTGTTAAGAATGGGAGGGTCGTCTCAGGACAGGCTATCTGTTGGACACAGTCTCCTAATATTGCATAACATATTCCATTTGTTTATCTCTAAAGGCAAGGGTTGATGTCCATATAAGGAGAACTTCTCGAGAAAGGGAGACTGTTGTCCTTGCCAGTAAAAGATCTAACTGTGTGACGTAATCAGGGTAATATAAGGATGAGGAGCGGTTTGTTCGACGAAGAATTGTGAAGATTGTGAAGTTTGCTGTTGCAAGTTTCTTCCCACACTCTGCGCAAGTGTGTAAATAAAGATCACTATTTTTGGCCACCTACCTGGACTCAGTCTGCTTTCTTCTCTTGCCCAATTCGAACCAATCTCAACAATTTTTGGTGCCGAAACCGGTTGGGGAGGAGAGGAGCGTGCGACTTGGAGGTGCCAAAGGGACGGAAGGCCAGCAGCTTATCTGAGTGACACGCCAGGCGAACTAGAAGGTGAGTGCCACCTGTTGATTTTATCCAAAGGCGCTGAATTGGATGTTAAAACTAAATTTAATATTCACTCAGTATGGGCTTCTGGTGTCTGTCCATAGTGATTTTGGGATAATTAGTGTTAAAAGTAGGGAACATTGGACTGACTAAATTTATTGCGGTTTATTGTGGGAAGCGAATTTTGAGTTAAGAAGTCATGTGTTTAAGTCAAGGTGTGACAGTGTGTGAAAACTGATGTGGGTTGACTGGGGATGCCAGCCAGCCAAACAGTAGTGTAGGGAATTTGGTTTTTATTGATTAGCAGAAACGCGGTTTCGGGCGTCAGGTAATTAAACTGGAGGCGGAGACCTTGCAGTGATGCTTATAATACACTTGAATAAATTGTCTTAGGACTGGGGCGCGGCCCCTAGGAGTGCAGTTGCTCAGCGTGTGGCGGCGACCCCTGATCGTGGACGCACGGTCCGGTTAAAGCCCGGGTGGTGCCCGGGCACCCCTTAAAAACTATAGTGATCTCGGGGATCACTTTTCTCACTGCGCTATTTGATTGACAGGGTCGCGGACCCGGCTGTAACTTTTAACGTTGGGGACTTGTGACCTTTAAGTAAAGCCAAAAGCGTGAACTGGGATATTTCGCGCAGCTGGTGGAGGTCCCTGTTGCCTGGCGGGGAGCAGTTATAAATTAATTAGGGCTTAGGAATCTGACCGCTCTCGGGAGGGCAGTCCCGAAGCGTTTAATCGATCGACAAGGCGGGGTCCTGGGCTGTAGGATGCTTTTAAATTACTTGAAAAACTTTGGAACACCGGTATAGGAATAAGGAAGATAAGCGGTTCTGGCATATGGTGTTTTAATACCGGTATAGAAATAAAGAAGACAAGCTGTTCTGGCATACGGTGTTTTCTTACATTTGTGTGGGCCCGTGTGTGTGTGTAAATAGAATGTGAATTATCCGTGTGTGTGGGTGTATATAAAGTGTAAATTTGTTGTATAAACTGTCTGTTGAATTTCTCCTGTGTGGTTGCAGAGTGAAAAAAGGAAAACTCTTTCTTTTCTCTCTCTGAGAGGAGGGAGTGTGTGTGTATGTGTGTCTGCAAGAGAAAGAAAATGTGGGGGCCGAGTGCTGTGTGTGTGTAGCTGAAACTAAACCTTGTAGTCTGGTGTTTGTGATTTCCTAATGTGAGTATGGTTTAATGGGATCTAATGTGTAGTGATCTCTCACGTAAAACTCCCATAGAATAGGATTGTGTTGCTAAGTATACTGGCGAAGATTGAGAACTTTGTGTGATTGCTGGGAGGTTTTCTGGCTGGGTCATATTTCCTTCTCGGCCTGGAGAAGGCAGAGGTGTGTGATTTATTTTTGATGTTGTGTGTATAAAGTCTTTTAAAGATCGGTTGAGTCCCTCGCTATTTTTTCTTGTTAACATACTGATTTCTCCTATATATTCCATAGGTCTTAAGGCTCACAGACTGAATGGTGTTATATTTTCATTGCACTGTACTTTTGCCCAGTGACTTGATAATTGCTTCTGGTATTTGAAAGCTGTAGCATTGTCATATCTGACAGGACATTTTTCTTTGCTTAGGCACAGTTCGACCTTCCAAGTTCAACTGGCTGGAGCGGAGGATTAATCATTTTAGTCTGACTGTAAGTATTTTAAAGTATTTTAACAGAAAAGTATAACTACAAATATTATATTATATATATATTATAAATGCAATTTTATTTATATAGCGCCAAATGACAATAGCAGTCAAGGTGCTTCTAATGTAAAGACTCTAAAATAATACAGAGAACCCCCAACAATCAGACAACCCTGAATTTGTTGTCTGATTGTTGGGGGTTGTATGGGCAAGCATGTGGCAACACTGGGAAGGAAAAACTCCCTTTTTACAGGAAGAAACCACTGGCAGAAGCCCAGAACAGGCCTGGTTCTGCTGGTTCTGCTATTAGTATGATCTGGTGAAGAGTGGAGGTCTGTGCTGCTCCTAAAACTGCTGTGCTTGGTTAACAGAACAAGCTGCACGTGAGGAAAGGCAGGCTCGAATCCTGAATTCGCTGCCCAGAGGCTGGCAGCTCTTTCTGCAGGGAAGAATAGCCAAACCGCAATTGCCGACACCCGAGGGCATGACATCAACCTTCTGATAAGTAGATGACCTACTCTATCTCCTAATCTTCAGCTACCCCAACACTTGGTGAGTGAAAAAGGGTGAGAGAAGGAGATATGCTCAGTGCATCATGAGATGCCTCGAAGCCTAAACATAACTAAGGGTGGATTAAGGGTTACCTGATCCACCCCTAACTGTAAGCTTTGCTAAAAAGGAAAATCTTACGACTAATCTTAAAAACAGAGAGGGTGCCTGTCTGAAATGGATAAATAACTGGATAAATATTCTAGGAACCACATTAGCTGATTGTTGGAATTTTCCCTTTAGGATTGTAGAGTGTAAACTACATTTGTGAATTAGTGCTGTATAAATAAAGCTGAATCAAACTGAATTGAAAGCCTTTCACATATTGGTACAGAGACAGACAGTTCAATTGTGGAATCGGTAGTCAGCTGTTGCACTTTGAGTAACATCCCCATGCCCCAACTTGACTAAGAAACTGCTGCTATTTTGTAGGTGCAGCCACTGGACATGCTATCAGAGTGTGGTTATGCTGACAAATTACACAAACATCATAAATTGTAAAATCTCAGAAAAGTTATCAAAAGTGTTGTCAAATCTTGCAGTTTTCACTTTAAAAACAGCTGTCAGGTAAAGATGCATGGCAGGCAGAGTAGGACCCAATTGCAGGACTCGGAGACAAAGGATAAACTAAAGGAAGCCCCTTTTATCACCTTTATTTAGAAACTAAATTAAAGAAAATAAAAAATTTCAGACAAGGAAAAAAACTGGAGCTAAGAACTAATGAAATAGGAAACCTGGAAATTATGAGGACAAAAACCCACAGAACTCTTGGAAACACACAGCAAGAGGGAGAATGCAACACAAGGAGACTTAGAAGATTTATATATACACAGGTTGATGAGGGAACAGGCAACAGATGGGTACACACCTGAAACTCATCACAGACTTAAAAGTCAAGGAAAGGAAAACTGAACATACCATAACATAAACTGAACATTACATACGGGACAAGGGACTAATTAAACAGAAAGTAACAAACACTGCGAACAGGACTTAGATATATAAACCTTAGGAGCTAAACAGTCACACTACTGAGTAAACACGGAGACAAGGCTGGCTTCCAAAGGAGACACTGAAGGAAAGACACAGAGAATACACAAAGGGAACTAACATAATCAAACAAGAACACATGACTCAGAAAAATAGATAACAAAACTCAGAGACACAAGGAAACTAGAACATAAACAGAAAACTATGGCTCGCTAACACAGAACTCATCTTTACCCAGAATGAACCTGAAGACCTTTAGAACAGGAACACAGAATTATAATAAAAAGATATAAAATGAGAAAAAAAACCCAAACATGCCCAAAAATCAAATCCCTGGCTCAATGACACAGGGCCCATGGAATAAACTGTTTGTTTACATCATGATAAGATGAACTAAAAGTATTTCTCTTTTCCACTCATTAGACAGCCACAACACATAGCAAAGACTTCCAGTCTTAAATTAGGTTTAATACATGTATTGCAAGTTGAAGTTGTAACATAATAAAAAAAGTTGTGTCAAGAGATGTATTCTAAAGACACTTCTTCAGCTAACAGTCAGAGACTGGAAACACACACGCTGCAGGTTTTACTTGCAAGGGCAGTCACAGAGCGCTCACACGAGAGTGGGGGTCCTGTGATTCGCGCTCTGTTACTGCTCTGGTCTTTATTTATATACAAGGATAATACAACAGTAAATACATTTGTTCATGACGTGTGTGTGTGTGTGTGTGAGAAAGAGAGAAGTGGCTCCTGTTCCTGGTAGGGGGTGAAACTGCTTGTTCAGCTCTTATCATCGCTAGAAGAAGAAACTGCTCCTTCTTTGTATGATAAGAGGGAACAGAACAAGTCTTGTAGTGAACAACAGTCTGAGTCATAAAAAGGTCATCATGCAGTATTCTATCATATATAAACATATATCATTAAAAGATTATATTGACTACTAAGTACAATTTTCCATTGACAGCATGTATGGTATTTCACACCCTATAGATATTAACATATCAAAACATAAACTTCAGAGAGTTCAAGGCAACTGATTATTTTGGAATGAAGTGAACACTTTCCATCCTTTTTTTTTTCTGCCTGTAAGGGCCCGGAACAACTTACTCACCCTAACCTCTACCACCTAACCCTGAAGAGAATCAACTTTTTTAAAGGGTATTAGCTATTAACTGTATTTATATGCTTCAGGGTTCTTTTCACATTTCTTGAAACCTCCACCTATTTTCTCAAAACCTTAAACACAAATCCAAAAATCTTAACTGCATTCACAAAACCCCAGACTTTTCAGTTGAAATCAAACAATTATCTCAAAATGTCATGATCCTGGGCCATGTTGGCCCAGTATTCTTAGTTTCTTGTATTTTTGTATTTTGTTCCTTATTTAGGCCATGTTTCCTGAGTTGCCCTGTTGTGTTGTTCCCTAAGTGTTTTCCCTTCGTGACTCTTACCCCCTGTGTGCCCCTCTGTGTATTTATGAGCCCTCGTCTCTCTTTGTGTTTATTCCATGTTTCCTCTGCCCGTTATGTCTATGTTCTCCCTGTGCTCTCTCTCTCCTCCTGTCTGAACCCCCGTGTACTTCCTGTTTTATTTTGTGACTCTCGCGCCTGTATACGTCATGTTATGTTCACCCCGCCCTGTCTCGTTATGGTTATCTGTGTCAGCTGTGTCCCCGTGTGTTCCCACTTCCCTCGTTAACCCTCTGTGTATTTATGTGCATGTCTCCCCCAGTCCAGTGTTGCGTCGTCAATGTCTCTTCCCCGAACCTGTGTGGCTTTCTGTTCCCTCGTGCTTCAGTTCATATTCCTGGTTTTTGTTCTGTTACTTTGCACTTCTGCAATAAAGCAGCATTTTTGAGTTCAGTTCCAGTCTCCGTGAGTTTTGCGTTTGGGTTCTCTTCTGCCTCCACACAGCCAGCTCATGACACAAAATCTGTTATTCTGTGTTCAAAACCAAACAATGTGTTCACATCATAAACACAACAACTAAAAGTATATTCACCACAAAACATTTGTTAGACACTACATCAAATAATTCAAGACACAGCATCCAGGGCATGTGGGCATAGTTATTGTAAGTGTATTTAACAAAAGAATTACCATGGTTAGAGTGATATGAAATGCTAAATGTAGATAACAAAAATAACATGAAATATGTTTCACATGCAGCCGTAATATCCTGTAGCCCACCAAGAAATGTCAGGAGATGTGTAGTGTTATATGTCCACAGGTTTGCATGATGTTGCAGAACCCCTGCCAGTGTTTACAGTTTTGCAATACACGTGTGAAATGTGTTTAGTGACTGAGCATGTGTTTATGGGTTTGATAAAAAGAGTGGATGAGTTTTGCAAATCGTCTCTAAATGGCTTAACCGTGTTTAAGGTTTGGCTAACAGAGTGTTTGATTCGAAAAATAAGTTTAGGCCACTAAGAATTTGGTTTAGAGAATGGGGTTTAGTGTTTTAGCAATTCAGAAAAACTCTAATAACCACAAAACATGTTTGGCAAGATATAACTGAAATAATCTAGGGTTACTGGATAAAACAAAGCGGAGTCTGTGATCATTTAATCACTCTTTTTTTCTTATCTTTCAGATAACTGCAACTTGTCTGCTGAAGTCATCAAAATGGGGAACCAGGTCCCAACAGAAAGTAACATGGGCAATAATCTTAAATGCTGCAAATGTGATCGAGTCTTGCCTGCATGCAAATCATTTGATGACCTTTACAAAACTGAGGTTCATGGTCGAGTCGTATATGTGTTCAATAGAGGTGAATACTACAGACCAGTTGGTCACGATGACGCATATGAGTGTGAATATTGCTTTAATAAGCCAATCAGAGATCAAGAGCAAATGAGGAGAAGAGAGGAGGAGAGAAGAAGAGAGGAGGGGAGGAGAAGAGAGGAGGAGAGGAGAAGAGAAGAGGCGAGGAGAAGAGGAGAAGAAGAAAGGAAGAGAAGAGAGGAAAGGAGGAGAGAGGAGGAGAGGAGAAGAGAGGAGGAGAGGAGAAGAGAGGAGGAGAGGAAGAAAGAAAAACTGAATCAAAGACTACAAGAATCTCACCAACGAGCCAAAGAGCAGCTTGAGAAACAATTGAGCAGCTACATTTCTCAGGAATATGAAACCAAGCGAGATGCTCTAATATGGCATCTGGATGACTTTGAAGCTAACTATAAATCAGGTAGTGGCAGTGATGAGCTTCTTGAAATTCTTTCTACAAAATGCAGTGTTGAGGTTTTGAGTCTCAGTCTGACTCAGCTCACAGCTGATCAGCTCAGTGAGATCCTTTCAGTCCTGGACAAACTTCTGTTTGATGAGTGGATTAATGCTCCTCCATCCATTAGCACTCTGCAGCACACTCAGGTATTCATCACAGAACTCTGTGCTCTGTCTCTGGAAATATCTGAAGAAGTTTCCCTACAAAGCATCTCCAATCATATGCAGTCCCATTTGGGATCCATCAGCCAATCAGCAAGTGGTGTTTTTGAGAGTTTCCTCTTGACTCAAGCCCTGTATCTGAACTTGATGCACCTTTTCAATGACAGCGGAAGATCTGATAGTGATGCCGGCTTCATAGCCAAAAAATGGGCAAAATATGAGATTTCCACTGAGAACCTCTTTATAATTGAGTTTCTGAGCACCCTTACATCATCACTGCAAAGTACAGTTGGAAGAGCCTCTGTGTTCACTTTAAAGATGGAAATCCAGTGTTTAAAGCTTCTCTTATCCACACTCACAGATCTAAATGGAAAAGAAGCCCACTCAAAATCTACTGAAATGCTCCTCAAACTTGTGCAAAGAAACCAATGGACTCCAATGGAGGCAGTCACTCTGCTTAAAGCACTGTCACAGAAATATGCGGATGATGATTCCATAACTCAAATCCTTACCTTGGTACAAGTGTATGACATACCACCAGACTGGATAGATGACTGTGGGCACTCTCTAATCCAGCTCCTTGAATCTGCTGCTCCTGAGCGATTTTGTCAAGATTTCCAAAAGACTCTAAGAGGAAATGATGAGAACAGTGTAACTGCAGTTTTAGCAGAAGTACAAATGTTGTGGAATTTGGATGACTCTGTCATTGATATGATAAAAAACATTAACACCGGTGTCCTGAAATACACAGAAAATGTACCAAAAGAAGAAACTTTTATGAAAGATTCATTTAAATGTGAATCTTTGAATGCAGACAACATACAGAAGTGTCTGTGTCAGCTCTGCAAAGCAGTGTTCGACATAAAAGGCTGGTGGCCCACAGTGAGGCAGGTGGTGCGGTGGTGTGGACTGGTGCTGACTCAGAAAAGTAGAGTGGTACAACTGGTTGGTGTGGAAGAAGACCCATGTGTTACAGCCATGTTTGCAGCCATGCAAGTCTGCATGGGAAACAAACTGGACATTGTGCTGAGCTCTGATGTTCACTCAGAGGAGCAAACAAAGGAGTGGTCTGACTTCTACAAGCACCTTGACATTTCAATCAACACAAACATGAAGAAGACTGACCCATCATTCCAGGATGTCTATGAAGCAGACATTGTTTATGGTACAATGGATGATTTTGTGTCAGATTATGTTCAACATGGCATACAGGCAATGGAAACAGGGCATACACCGTTTAGTCGTGGATTCATTATTGAAAAACAAAGTCTCAGTGCTCTGCATGCTCTGGAACTTTCAAGACTCAAAGACGATGACTCTCTGGTGTTTGCTGCGGAGGTCCTGCAGAACCTCATGAGTAAATTTCACGGTGAAGATGTGGGACTGATACACATGTTTATTAAGGTCCTTTTTCAGGTCCTTCACAGTACCCTAAACAAAGACACAATCACTGACAATAAAATCATCACAATCTCAAAGAAAATCACCAGAAAGGAACTGCTTTTTAATGAGATCTTCATTTTGACCTTTCTGGAGAATCTGATGAAAAGTTTTGTTAGTGAAACAGAAGCTGTTAAAAACATGACAGATCCTGCAGGCAAATGGTGTTTGGAGATTTTATTTGCCTGTGTGGAACAATTTCAAAACTCAAAAAAAAAAAAAACCAAAGGAGTTTTTGAGATGGTTTCAAATCTTGGGGAACAAAGGCTTTGGTCACCAGTAGAGGCCTTAAACGTTCTTGAAGCATTAACTATACACCATCATGATAAAAGCTGTATTTCCATCATGAAGATTTTACATTTGGTGGAAACATATCAGGTTTCTTCCAAGTGGAAAGATGAAAACAATAAATCTCTCCTTGAGCTCATAGATTCATGCACAACTAAGAATCTGATCCAGCATCTAGAAAAGAGCCTTAAAGATGAGAAAACTAAAAGCATTGACAACCTTTTTTATGAAATACGGCAGATGAAAGAAATTGACGAACAAACACTGAGTAAATCATACAACATAGTAACTCATGTAACAAACCTCATCGAAACTGGTGAAATTAAAAAACAGAGAGATATACGGCGAGCTAGGACTCTGAGTCACAGCATGGAGACAGAGGACCTTCAGGAAGTTCTTGCAGTCTTATGCAATGCTGTACACCTCCACAAAGATGAAAGGAAGTGGTTTCCCAGGGCAACTCAGATGATAAGCTGGTGCTTGTTGGCCTTGTCTGACACTGGGAAGCTCCTGGAGATGGGAACTGGAGAAGGGAAGTCTTGTGTCATAGCAATGTTTGCAGTGCTGCATGTGCTTAGAGGTGAAAAGGTGGATGTGGTGTCCAGCTCCTCCGTGTTATGCCAAAGAGATGCTGAAGAATGGGCAAAATTCTACAAATACTTTGGCATTACAGTCGACACAAACACAAATAAAAATGAGGATAAAGATCGGAAAGAATGCTATCAGAAGGACGTGGTCTATGGAACCATTGAAGCCTTTGCTGCTGATCACCTTCGCCAAATATTTGAGATGAAGGATGTGAGACCTGATCGTAACTTTCAGTGCATCATTATCGATGAAGTGGACTCACTGCTGCTGGATCAGGGAGTGCAGCTGACATACCTGTCCAGCCCCATGGTGTCCATGCAGCACCTGAACATTATTCTCACCATGATCTGGAGCCACGTCAGTCACTATGGCTTCCTATCTACAGGACATCAGACATTTGTACGAGGTCCTCCTGCTTCATTCTTCAAGGCCATCTATGACTCAATGAACACAGAAGACACTGAAATTAGTGATCCAATGGA